GATTTACAGTCCAAAAAAGCTAGCAGATTTAGTTGCAGGTTCCTTACCTGATGCAAAATCTTCATTATCTCCCACATGCTCCCTGTCGAGGCCACTTTGTGAACTTCCCACATATAAAGGACATGGAATATGCATACTCACAGAGGAAATAATGTTGCAATTGATGTGCTGCAATGTCCATGTTACTGCTTGCCGTTATTGTTAAGAGTTACAGTCTGACCCTACATTAGTTGTGAATAAATTCTTCTTATCTGATACATTATTCCTACTTAGCAAATTTGCTTCCCCACATTTAATATTCTTGAAATGTGCTCCAGTGATCAAACTAATTGAAGAAAAGGTTAATCAAAGCTTGATTGTTTAAGTTGTGCTCCTACTTGCACTTGTTTGGGGGGATGGGATAAAAGACTGTAAATGGATGTCATAACAGCCTAAGGAAACATAAACTTCTCTGTGCTGCCATTTGTAACCCATCTTCACTGATCAAATTCTGTTATAAACATGACTACAAATCATGTCCCTGCTTTGAGCATGGAAATCCTCAGCTATATCATTTGTACAAGTCTTTTTTCATTCATGTCATGAAAGAACCCATGATGTATTACTTGTTTTTTTTTTTTAACTCTGCTGGGGGATGGTTGAGTTGAATGTGATTGACTTATTAAATGTATTGATGCCAATGCAGAGAACACCTTAGGTTGGGAGTTGTAGGGTTGAAAAGCCGGCACTAGTCCTCCTGCAAGTTAGAGTTGGTGTTGACTTTGGTTCTGTTCTGCTTTAGTCGTTGGGTTTTTTTTTGGCTTTTTGGTGGTGGGGTGGGTTGTTTTTTTGTGTGGTTTTTTTTTTTTATTTTTGGGGAGGGGTTTGTTGTTGTTGGCTTTTTAGTTCATTTTTTGCTCTTTGTGCTAAAATCTGTTCATCAGCTTGTGTCACCACTTATTCACAACCTTTCAGGTTTCTGTTTCTTTGCCCCTGACATCTTAAGCTAGAAGACCAGAAATAGCTGACTTTTAGTTTGCTTTTAGACAGTTGAAGGGCTGGAATCCACAGCAGATGGTGATGGTGTGCTGATTTTAATCAAGGCACCATGATTATTTTTAAAATTTGAAACAGTCTGAACAAGACTGTGTTGAAGTGTGTGTGCGTGTTCTCTCCACTCTATTTAGCAGAGGGTAAATATGGCACCTCTGCACTTTTTTTAGGTAGTGTTGTTAGTTTGCTTCTTAATAAGAAACAGGTTCATGTAAATGTATCTTCAATGAGGCAAACTGAAAGTGAGAGAAGCCTTTTGGTTTTAGTGCTCCAACAGCTTTGGTCACTTCCATGTGGCAGTAGGAGATGCCTTGCAGCAATGATGCTTTGTGTGTAGGTGGGGATATGAGATGTGGAGTGTGCTACTGCTCTTCATCCATTTGTGGAGTAAGTTCATACTCACATTGCTTCAACCACATGGTGTTTCTGGACTTATGGCTCAAAAATACACCAATTATTTTGCATGTCTGCTTTTAAGTGTCTGAAATAGTGAGAGAGCTATCTTGTTGCTTTTGAGGGATGTTTTTATGCATGACGCTAATAACAACATGTTGCACACTCAAGGACATGGACTGAAAGAGCAGGAAAACATAAGAATTGATAGCTTGCTGCAAATGGTGTTGGAGGTCTGCAGAGACTCAAAGCCAAAGCACCCTTGTCCAGACTGGCTCCTGGGAGCAGACCCTAAAGTAAACCACTCTCAAAATCCAGGTCCAGGGTTTTGATTTGGAGGAAACTAGGCAGCTGCCTACAAAAGAGAAGCCAGGAACAAAGAGGCAGTTGTGCAATGTGTGGGAAACCAGCCCTTACTTTAGCTGCTTTGGGAAAATGTCATTGAACTGCACAGCTCACTTTATTTCTGTTTTATAAAGTGCATTAGCAATTATTTATGAGTTAGCTCATTTTTATGGGGAAACCATCTACATCTAGTTGTAGAAAAGGTTCTGTGAAACCAGATACTCCTTTTGTTTGGTTGCTTTTTGTTGTTGTTGCACCTGTGCTTTTCAAACCAAGCAGGGTAGTGAACAGCATTGCACACAACAGGGCAGGTAATGAACTGCATAAGTTGATATCTAACACAATCTTGGACTCTGGAATATGATCTTTTATGGTAATAACACACCTAATTTGTATGTCACTTCAGCCATCATGGTAGCCTGGCAGCTCTGTGGGTGTGTGAAGGGGTTCCCCTTGCCCCAGCTTGTGCGTACAGAACTCACACTGATACCAGTGGCGAGTGCACACACCCACTTGACACCAGAGCCAGTGAGCAGGAGAGCTTGTGCAACTACATGGCAGTAGAATTAACAGAAGCTATGGCACGTTCTGGTTAAGATTTTATGAGTATGGTTTCTATCCATGGACTACATTGGGCATCTTGTTCAATAGGACTCAACAACAACATTTTAAATTATGGTTTTGAAAAAGCCTTTTCGTTCCGGACAGTTATCCTTTTCCATAATCCATTTGGAGAGCACACACTGGCTTATGTTGGACTGCTTGCAGTAATCCCCGGAACTGCACAGGTTGGTATCTAAATACTAAGGAAGCTTATTAATGAGTGAAAAGCTTCTAGGGTTATAAGATGAGAAGTTTCTTGTTGCTATTGCAGTATGTACTGCTGCCAAATGGGAGACTACATAGCATTCAAAGCATACTGTTTTATTTGACTGAATCTGTGATTTTCCTTCCCCTTCCCCCTCCCTCCCCCCTTTTCTTTGGAAGGTAACTGTTGTGAACATCACAGATGCATGATTAAATCTGTCATGCTTTGCTGGCTGTTATATATTGCCTTCCTAGGAAAGGTCCTGTTTCTGCTGCATCACTCCTGAAACCTAAAATGCAGATGGTAGAGCTGCTTTTCTCAAGCATTCTTTGTGCCATGCTCAGCAGGACAACAAAAGCACCCACCTGCTCTGCAAGACCTGCCTGGGGAGGTATTTGGCTCTTTTCTGGGAGAAGCAATTGGGCCTGGCTGAAGGAAACCTCCTGTGGGGCCGGCACAAGGAGCTGGAGCTATTAGAGCTCCCAGAAGGAAGGTGCTCCAGCCCCTCTGAGCTTGGTCCTGCTGGGGAGCTGCCTGGAGTACCCAGGCTAAAGGATTGTGGAAAGTGTAATAAATGATGGCATAGGCTATCTGATTTTGTTCAGAGTTCAGTAGCAGCTTTTAAATTTTAGACTAATTGAAGGGCTACCCTTCTCCATAGCCTCAGCCTGGCTTTAGTAAGAACATTTGGACAAAATTGGTTAAAAGTTTGAAAAGCTGAGATTTCTAATAAGCAATTGTGAGCTTGTGACTATCTGGAAGAAAAACCTGACATGAGAGAAAAGGCTAGCTGGAGGGAAAGAAGTCAGCATGCTTACAGGCTTAGACATGGTGAGTGATTGAGGAATTGTGGCTACTCAAAGTATCTCTTGTGGAGTAAGAACATACTCTGCTACAGACTGCTGCACTGCCTAAGTCTGAGGGAAAAATTGGATAAGTGAAAGGTACACAGCTATTGGTCAAAGATAATGATAATGTGATAAAGGTAAGGATAAATTCCAGCAGCATCCCAGGGCAGAGTTGAGCCAAGTTGCACTTAAGAAAACTATGGGAAGAAAAGCCAGCCTGAGAGGGCTGCAGGTCTTGGAAAGACAGGATAAAGAACAGAGATAGGTTTTATTCTCAAATTAGGTGTTATGTGTATGGTACAGAAAAAATCCTAATTGAAATGTCCCATTTCTTAAAGTTCACTGGATCTTTGACTCAGAAATCAACTTGGCTCCCCAGCCAAAGTTCACCTATAAGCATTTAATTATATAATACTGAAATCTATATTTAGATCTCTAAATAAAAGTGACCTGGATTTGAGAGTCAGCTCCACCTGAAGTTTCTTTAACTCTGCAGAGAAGTCCATGAGTACAGCAATTTAAAACCACTAAAAATTAGGCCACCTGTCAAGACACAGGGTGTTTTGTGAGTGGTACAGCTTGTTGGGGTGGGACAGGATGAAGTCAGGACAATGAAAAAAAGTAACTGATGTATAATTTTTTTTTTGTTCTCATCCTTTTTCCTTCCAACTCTAGGCTGCTGTTTTAAATGGCACCAGACTGTTGTTCACATCAAGTGAACTTCAAAGCATAGCATTTATATATCAAAATATAGCATTAGCTTTCCTCCTTAATCCTGGATAAGCCCAACTACATCATGTTGTCATATTTGTGTGTACATGTTTATATTAACACAGCACAGTTCAGATCGCTTTATTAGCTGCGACTAAATTGAGTGATAGCTCTGAAAGTCATCCATAAAGTCTGTGACACTTTTCATTAAACCTTATATATACATACACACATACATGTGGGTGCTTGTACATACATAGGTTTTTTTAACGTGTGCACACATAGAGACGTATATATAGTTTAGGGATCATGTAACGTTGACAGAGCAAAAGAAATGCTCACTGAGCAAAGCAAAAAAGTTCCTTAGAAGGTTATGTACTGTTTGGGTGCTTTTTAGCTTCACAAAACCTATTTTGAAGAGCCAGTGGTGGGGAAATGGTATCAGGCCAGAGCCCAGGGCTTTCTATGGAGTTCTATTAGGAGTGCCTGAAGACCCAAGCATATGGAAAAAAGGAAAATCAGAATAAAATCACTGAGTTTTTTCTACCCTCATTTTTTTTTTTCAGTCTCAGTTAAACAAGTCAGTGCATTCTTCTCTCATAGGGACCTGGTTTCAGGTTGGGAAACAGGATGGAGCCAAAATTAATGTATTTTCCAGTAACTTATTGCATACACGTGTAGTTAGAAATTAGCAGAACACATTTCACTCCTTTCCTCTTAAATTGCTTGTTACCTCTGAGCAAGTGGTCTCAGTTTTTATTTCCCAAACAAGATCAAAGAAAACTGATCTCCTTCCCTTCCTCCCTGTCTCCCTCCTCCCCATTTGTCACCTTGTCCAAAAAATAGCAAAAGAAGGTACCTACAGGATTCAGGAGAATGGTGAGAAAGAGTTCACCTCCTTGGATACTTTTGTCCAGCTCCTGAGGACCCCCAGGATATTCCTTGTAAAAAATAGTATGAGTGAAAAGGCCACAGGTCTGTCGAGGGAGCACCTGAGAACAAAATAACAGCGCCATTGTGACATTAACTTCTTTTGCAAACTTAACCTGGCACAGCCACCCAAATCCCTCTATCAACTCAAGGAAACAAATCTGCAACCCTTTCTGCCTCTGTACTCTGATGTGGCTATTTGTGGTCTCCTCTGGGCCTTCTGTGTTCTTGTGGTAAACAAGCATGGCCCTGCAGATGTGGAGATTTCCAGATGCCAGGTCTGAAAAGCTGAGACACAAATGTTGAGGTTTCATGCAGACTTTTTTATTGAGCTCATGAACTCATTGTGTTTGTTTCCTGGCTTGTGCAAGAGGAAGAAAACAAAAAGCCAAACCTCTCTTTCCCTCAGCAAGGTTAGTTTATTTGCAGATAAATAGTGCTTCCTGGTCATCTTTGCTATCTCAGGCCACTCATCTTACTGTTCTTGAGACAATGAACTGAATTTGTACTCAGGGCTGCAGACCACAAAAGGCACGTTGCTTCATACTTTCCTCAGTCCTTGAAACTATACTGAGCCCTCATTCCTGTTTGTGAAATGTATACAGGAATGGTGGGATGCTTGTGTGAAAGCAGCTCCAGGCCAACTTCCCATCACCTTAGGAACTGAGAGGCTGCCTGTCTCTGAAAACAAATTTGTCTTGGAGAGCTAGATGGGTTGGTTACATTAGTACCCAGGTACTATCAAAGGGTTGTGGTCAAGTAAAGACAGCAACTGTCAGGGCTTACAGGTATTGCCTAATCCCCTCAGAGACATAATTCACCTGGGGAAGGCCTTTGGTTTCCCTCCAGTCAGTGTTTTCATTTTTCTACTCAGTTAAAAGGACAAAAAAGCCCACTCTGAGCAGACCATTTTCATACACATGTAAATGCACAGCTGAATTTGAGACCATTCCAACAGTAATGGGGCTCTGTGCAGTAACTTCTTGGTTTTGATTGAGACGTTCCTTTTGTCTTATTCAGGGAATCACGATTTTGACTTTGGATGCATAGGCAATATTCAAGACAGCCGGGGCTATAAGCATCCTGAGACTGCAGTTATGCATATTCAGTTCTTGTGTTTTACCAGCTATAGGGCTTCAGCTGGTTGGTAAGTCAGGCCAAGTAATTTTGTACATTTTCCTGCCTTTCATGCAGTTGAAGCATGTATGTGAGGAACCTTTTCCCTTCTCACACAAATGGATAGTCTGGAAGAGTTGATCACGTCTCTGGCCCCTGGCTCTGGGAGTTTCCAAGGCAAAGCTCAGAAGGAATTCTCAGCCTTGGAGAAGTGTTACACTTGCTGGAGGAGGTTGCTCACAACTGCTCACCTTCCTTCCCAGCTGGTGGGTTCCTAATCCTTTCATGCATAAAGATGATCCAGAGCTTGAAACATAGGTCTTAGGCAGTTTAATGAATTTCAAAATATGCATTTATAACTCAGTTGGTAGTTGATGGAACTACAAGTACATTAAGTACATTCAGTTTCTGAGGTTTACATTTGCAGTTGCCCAAGTTGTGTGATTTTTTTAAGTGGCTGCATAATAAATACACTATTTTGCATCCTTTCAAATCCTTGGTCACAGAGAATTTTAATGACTGCTGTAAAACTTGAAGCATTTGGCAAAAATAGCATAATTTTGAGTCACTTAAAGTACTATTGCTATGAAGCATGGAAATGCAGTGTACCATGATGCCATTGTGGATGAAGCCCCGTCTGTACCGTGCAGGCTTCAGATGCGGGTATTCTTCTGTGCTGGTCACTCGGATGTGCCAAACCTTCTTCCAGGCCTCGTACAGCTGGATGTGAACCGGGTAAACCCCAGAGTGGTGTGGAGCCACCGCGTATCCCATGCCAGTTGGTATGCCATGCTCCTGCAACACAGGAGAGGGAAGAATTAATTTTGGAGCAGAAAAGGAACACGTAATTATTCAAAGCTTATTTTTCCTGCAGACAGCTGGAAAGCTGTTGTCCTTGGGCAAACTTGTATCTGTTAGTATGTAGCACAATCTAAAAACGGGAGAGAGATGAAGGGAACTGGAATCACAGTTTGATGGCTGTGGAGTGAGAAATAATCCTTTCGGATTATGTTGTGTTGCTGTTACATGGGATAGGTTTGCCTGCCTGTTCATTATATACTGTTACTAAGGTATCAAACAGCATTAGAGGAGTAAACAAATGGTAAAAATGGTTGCAGTAACATACAGGATTTTTTGTTTCCTGTTTCTGGAATATAAGCAAGATTCTTTCCTGATTCAATTAATAAATATATAAAGATCCCCCATAGCTTCTGAATCTGCTCATACTTTTCCTATGGTAGTAAGATAGTAGCAAAAAAGAAGCTGGACTTTGACTGACATGTCTTTCATTTCATAAATATTTAGCTCCATTTCTGAGGAAATATGGGCATTCTCATGAATATAATCTACAGGTTATCTTGAAAATATCTTCCAATGGCACAATGAGGCAGTTAATGTGCGGGCAAAGAGAATTAAGGAAAAAGCTTAACTGTGAGCATGCTGAGCATGTTTCGTTCACTTCTGATGTTCTCTTGCCTTTGTTCTGCTCCTCATCCCTTCTGCTCCCAACTCAGTGTGGGCTGTCTGAAAAACCCCATCTGATGATGAGGGCTGATAACTACATCTATAGACCAGGATATATTTAAAAGTGAGCAGAGTATTTCAAGTGTAAGCTTCTTATGAAAATGAGGTAATTAGTTTAATTGAGCTGAGTGACTGTTCAGAGATGCATCCAATGTCTGTCACCAGCTACTGGCATGAAGGATGATTACAGTCTGCCTCTTCTGCCAAGGCTGGTTTCCAGCAGGTCCCGTCCACTTTTCCACTTTCTCACAGCATTTCCAGGTTGCAAGAGTGTCCCACAGCTGTGGGTCTTGCAGGATCCCTTCCTACACTTTGGGTGTTAACTGAATTAATTTTACCCCCAGTACTACAGGATACATCAGCTGTTTCCTATTCACGTAAAATTGATGTTCAGAAGGAAATGGCAAAAATGAGAGATTATGATTTTTTATGTTTTTTTCTGTCCTTCCTCTTGCCCACATTATCCAAGAACCACTGATTACTTTAATTCCAGGAACAGCAGGTGCTGCTGGGCATCTTCAAGTAGTTTGCAAGGAAAGCATTGTGGTTCTTTGACAAAAATAAAGTTAAACCTCTAAGCCACACTTGTTTGTTCACCACATAATGCAACCACTTAAAATTATCTGTTCCTTATTCGTAAATATCTTAGGTTACTGCTTGATCTTGAAAAAAAAAAAAAAGACACCCAAACTCATGATTTTTAATTTACTGAGAACAAAATGTAATTTCTGCTTATTAATGTTGTTAACTGCCTGAAAGGCGTGAGTCAGTTTAACAGTGAAATGAGAAGTGTTAATCACTCTTTTCTCTATTGTTTTTCTATGAACATGTATAAAAGAAAAAACTGTATCTAAAAGTTTCTGACAAATCTAGCTACTTATTACTCTGCCCGAGTAACTGATGATGGTCATGTTGTCAAATACACTGTGCTAACTGAAGTATACTGTATTAACTGGAATCTCCAAACCTTCACCAACCCTATGTGAGGAAGTATACAGACACATAATGTAAGGCAGATGTGTTCTGAGCTAGAGAATGAACACTGCTCTGAATGACATGTCTGTATTGCATGGACCAAAACATGAAAAATCCTGGTTTTCTACTTCCTTTTTTGCTGCTGGTATTGCCATAGCAACAGAATGGTGACAGGGTAATCTGCCATTCACAAATAAATTAAGGCACCTTTTCATAAGTTCTTAATAGAAAGGGCTAATTAGCCTCTGAATAACACTTGCACACTACATAGTTCAGCATACAAATCCGTGTCAGTCACTCAAATACTCAATGCGACCTTAAGAAGAAACAACTACCAAATAATCAGATTTTCTTTGGTCAGGTCTGTGTTCAGTTTACTCGGGTAAATGAAATATTTCGTGTCCTCTTTTAGTGATTTCTGTTGCTTTCTCTCCTTTCTTCCTCTCATTTTGTTATTAAATTTAGTTTGCAATTGAGACCTAATGTGTTACAGGAGGAGTGTACATTGGAATCTAAGCCACTGAGCAGAAAGGGAGATGCCTATACAAAGTATATTTTCTTATCTATTCTACTGAATAATTTATAACAAGATTTTACACTAAGGAATTTTTTTTTTTTTAAATTTCAAAAGTTCTGTGCATGTGTTTGTCTACTTTGGAAAATTTCTGAACCATTCTGGCAATGAAAGCAGCAGTATTATGTATGTTACTTTACATACTTAAGCTGGGACCACAGAGCCACTGATTTTGGACAGCCTAAATTTGTATTCCCATTTCACTTGTGCATGAAGAGACTTTCAATTCTGATTTAAATGACAGTGTAAGCTGAAGCTGCAGCAGTGTATTGGACAAGTTCAAGTTATTGCATTTTTTGGCAGGAAATTCCCCAAGTTGTCTCTACTTCCCATGCATTGGTTTGTTTCGTGGTACAGTCTGGGAGCATACAACCTGCCTTCTTTTAAGGGCTAGACAGAGTAGAGTATGCTCTCCATGAGTACCCCTCATGCCCTCAGGCACCGGTGAGATTGTGGTAGGTGGATCAGACTAAAACCCACTCAAAACAGTCTTCTTCTGATGCCTGCATGTGGCCACACTTCCGGCCAGCAGCAGTCATGCTGATGCACCCAAACCAGAGAAGCTGGAATTGGAAACTCATAGTCCTGCCAAGGCAGCCTGGCTCATCTTTGCTCCCTCCAAAGTTCCCATAAGTAGGACTGGTACTCCTACAGGTGATCTAAATGGCTGAGGCAATCTGCCAAGACTGCTTCTCTCTCTTAATTATCAGCTTGGTTCAAGCAAGTGAAGATTTGCTTGACACTCCTAACCTCTTTTTGACCTCTTTCTTGTTTGTACAAGCAATGAGCTGTGATTGCCATGAGTCAGCATGTGCTGTGCGTGCTTTTGCATTTGTGAAAAACCCCTCTGGTAGGGAAAGGACAGGTAATGCAGAATGAGCACTGCTCTCCAGAGGGAGATATATCCTCAATAAGCAAGCTTGCATTCCTGTAGCAGTTTTTCTGCGAGCGCATGCTGGAAATGTGAATAAAAAGCAATCTGTGTAAGACTGACTATATTACCAGGAACTTGTCTGACACAAAACCCCCAGCTTCTGATTGCGCCAAGTCCTTGTTGAAATGCAGAGAGAAATAAAAGGAAACAAAACCTCAACCTGTTATAACACAACTGGCATTCTTGTTCTTAAGGGTTGCTGTTTTACAGAAATATCTAGTATTGGCCATTGTCAGTGATTAATTCTTATTAAACAGCAACCTTTTACACTTCCGTGATTCTATGATTTTAATTTCTTAAATCTCATGACTAATGTAGATCTTTTCCCACAGCCAGTTGAACTGCAGGATTTCCCTTGGTGTAAAGACTTTTATTAGATGAAAGAGTTACCAATACAAACTCAGACAAGTTTGCTAAACCTTTTGATTTTGTCCAACAGCAGGGGGTAGAGTAAATGCAGTACTTTTTAAGATGTTACCTTCTGAAGTTAAAAGCTTTGTATAAGCTTTGCATATTTTTAGTACTGGAATTTATTTCTAATATTGATGCACATGGGTGAGATTTCCTACAAGAAATACTGTGTTACTCTGTCAGTTTAAAATACTTTTTAAAGTTTCTCTCATTTGGTAAATAAATTTGCTACTTTCTTGCTTGTCAACACTCACAAAAATGCTGTATTTTATCCTTTATGGACGTATGTTTTTTGTTCTCAAGGGTTACATTTCTGGGTAATTTTATTGAATAAATATTACAGCCTTCAATTCCTTTTAAATCAGTTTTAATCTTTAAAAATGTGTTGAAAAGCTCTCTAAGCTAGACAAGATGGTTCAGCAAACATGTGGTTGCTATTGAGATAAGGGGGCTCTGTGTGTTGTTGGTATTTGCTTTCACGTAGTAGACAGTACAAGGGCTCTTAACAAAACAGGCTTTCTGGTGTCAGATCCAGGATTCACAGGAACATGGGAAAAGCCAGCTTGTCACTAGTCTTACAAAGAAGCCTCCCAGATATCACCATGACTCCTGTTCTAGGCATGCTTTGCACAGCAGCAGACTACCAAGGGACAGGGAAGATGTTGGGATTTAAGATCTTAAGTTTCTGAGGATGTGAAATGAAAAAAAATCTTCCAGCATGGTGGAAGATTTACATGGCTCAGAAACACATAAGACTCTACATGCCTCTGGTACCAAATGAATCTGGAAGGTAGAGGCAGTCTTAGAGATATGCTGTCAGAGCACACTCTTGATAAGGACAAAAGTACTAATGAAGATGGACTATTTCAGAAGGATCTTAAGGTTAGGCAGAAAAAATTTCATCCTGCCTGCAAAGTATGGCGTTATTCTACATATATGCAGACAATTCACAAAACATTTTTAGAAGCAATCTCTAGTGGGCATATCTCCTTCCCAGCATTAACTACAGATATTATTGATGGGACAAATGCGACTTTCTTTTCATCAAATGTAAATGCTTTGCCTTTGCTATGTGGTCACTGGTCTTCATATTCTTGGTATTTAACTGGTATATTAAAAGCCTATTTCTTTGTGGTTGGGGCAGGTCAAAAGGACGGGAAGAGGAAGTGCTTCCTTTTAGGCAGAGGAAGTGCTGATGTGCATCAGTAGTTGGTTTATAAACAGGTGATTGAAGCCAAGGAGGGCTACTAGGCAAGTTCCAAATAAATTTGTTTTGTATATGTCTTTCATTTTTTCCTATCAGATCACAGCTGTCTTTTCAGTCGATGACAGTTTTTGCCCTATTTCTGCCATGCTTCAGGCACATATGCTCACAAATGGGTGCAGAAGATAATCACGTAGCAAGCAAATCAAGGGACAAAATAATGAGCTACATGCTTTGTCTTCAATATATTCTTAGTTTTGTCATATAAGGAAGTACAAAATGGGAGAGGAAGGATATCTTGTGATTAAAGGATGGCAGTGAAAACTTGCTTGGTTTTGGTTTTGGTATATGTACTATCAAAGACTTCTGTTTGTGCAATCCATTTACCTCTGTGTATCGACTGTGTTGCCTATGAACAAGGAGAATAACATGTGAGATATCAGTTTCCAAAATGTAATCTAAGGCTTAATCCATTAGTGTCTTTAGAGGATTTGGGAATCTTCTTATAGAAGTAAAAGTCCAACCACCCCCCTACCTCCCCCACCCAAAAAAGAAAGAAAAACAAAGAAACAAGAAAGCAAAAAAAACCACGAACCAACAAAAGCCCCAAAATATTGCTAGTCAAATCCAACTGGTAATCAAAATAGATGCCATTCAACATTTCCTTAGCCAGGGATTGTAGCAATAGGACAAGGGGTAATGGATTTAAACAGGTGAAGTTCAGGTTAGGTGTAAGGAAGAAGTTCTTTACTGTGAGGGTGGTGAGGCACTGGAACAGGTTGCCCAGAGAAGTGGTGAATGCTCTATCCCTAGCAGTGTTCACAGCTAGATCGGACAGAGCCTTGGGTGACATGGTTTAGTGTGAGGCATCCCTGCCCATGGCAGGGGGGTTAGAACTGGATGATCTTAAGGTCCTTTCCAACCCTGACTATTCTAGGATTCTATGATTTACGTAAATTAGATGACAGTCAGATACCAAAGTTCTGGGTAGTCTGCAACTCTAGCACAGTTAAAATCTTGTTCCTTTGAGAAGAGATTTGACAGCAAGGGCTGTGGGAATGGGGCTGTGTCTGTGGCAGCTCTGGGGCCTGTCACCCAGGCACCTGTGGACAAGGATTTTGCCAGGCAAAACTTCCCATGCTTCCTGCTGGATCCAGAGCAAGTTGGAGAAGAACATTTCTGGAAAATGTGAGAAAGTCTCTTCCTTGAACCAACTAGGCATGAAACAGTAGAAATGATAAATATCAGTAACACATAAAACAGAATAATTTGGAGGGCTCTTGCTAAAGGCAGTTTCCTGGTTCTCAACCAATTTACATGTAAGGGAATCCTTTAAAGGCTGTTGACAAAGCCCCAGATACACAAAGGTATACACATCTGCACTGAAAGCAAGAAAATTAGATGCCAAATTAGCAATTAATTGCATGTATACAAAACTAGACATCTGTTTTCTACATGTATCTTGTGACACAGGGGCTTCTGGCAGGCTGCAATTGTAAGCCCCCGTTTTCTAGAGCATCATTACAAGGTATGAATATTTCCATGTACTACAGAACGAGGTCTTTTCTTTAGCTGCAGCTCTAACACCTGTATTTCTTGCCTCTGTTTGGCACTCTGTATGTGTACTCAAGTTCCTGTAAACTGAAGATTATGCATACAGTGTAAATACAAGAGGCAGTAACAATTATGGTTATGTACATTTATAACTCCCTGTGGTAAGACCCATTAAATACCATTTCAGGTGCACTGGCTTGTTTCATGAAAGGACATCCCTTTCATGAAAACATTTCCCCCAGTGACAAATGTTAACCCCAAGTCTGATGCTGTCCTGCATGGAGAAACTGCTGATTGTGAAGGGGTTTGGGTGCAGATTTCAGCACAGTGTGATTTGGTTTAGCTTTCTTCTAAAAGGGTACAGTCAGGAGGTGCCAACAGGTCTTAAATGAACAGAATTTTGTTGTGGTATTTGGGATTTTGAAACAACCTTTACTGTTCTTCCCAGGTATAATTACATACTCTCCCACCCTGTTACCTTCTTACCCACGTTTAAAATAAATGAATAAAGAAATGCCATGTGAGGTGAAGAATTAATGTAATCATATTTCCAAGTAATTATTGTGACTTTCCTTGCAGCAACACGAAGTATTATCTGTACCTGCAGCTAAAACTGGAGGTGGGGAGATAAATGGGAAATGCAAGAGAAAATGGCATCGGCATCAAGCTGTGTTTCCCTGAGTGAAATGCTAATTAAATATCATAGAGCATAAATGGAACATGTTTAACAAAAGCACATGTATGTATTGTTCTAGATCTCTAATTGAAATTTGGATCCACACTGTGAATTCAAGAAATAATGAAAAGAGGTTTGCCTCAACTTTGGAGGACTTGTGGAAGTGCAGCTGTAGAACACAGAATTTCTTTCCCAAACAAGACATGATGCTGAGGATGAGAAAGCATGGGAGGATGCAAAACTACTGTGGAGTCTGATAGCTGTCAGGAATGTTGTCGTAGTGGGAAGATAAATTTCTCCCACAGAGAGGATTCCACAGAAAGCCTTTTGAAAATAAATGTTCTCATAAATAATTTTACAGCTGATACAGATTTAAGGTTAAGAAGTTGGTGTAACCCCTGTCCAAACGTTAGCAGCAAATAAAACGGTAATAGCAGCAGCCTTTCATCGACATTAGCTCCATATTTATAAGCACCTTAAAGAGCCTCTACTCTTCAGTGATGATAGGGACATGGGCTTTATCTTTCTGTAGTTGAGGTTGTAAAGAGATTCTATCACAAGCCCTGTTCAGGCTATGTTATAGATTTTACTCCTAAAGGTGGTTTGACCTAGAGGACTTCATGCTCCCTGAAAACAGGAGGAGAATTTCCCCTCAGGTTTAAAGATGAATGGACTGTGTATTTTTGAGATAGAGACTATTTAAAAAACTACTCTTGCGTTTAAAATCCCAACTGTATTTGGGTCTCTGGGCTGGGCTACACAAAAACCGTGAACAGGCCATGCCAGGAATAAAGGCTGACAGTAAAGCAGAACTGTAGACAGAAAAAGACGTCTGTACTAACAATGCCTCTGTACTAACACCCTGCCAAGCAGACCATGGGAAGGGGGAATATCTGACAAGAAAACAGTTAAGCCATTTTTCATGAGTTTTATTTAGAAATATAAGTTAGCAAATTTAAATTTAGAATTATAAGTTAGGAAATTTAAATTTAAAATTATAAGTTAGGAATTTAAAATTATAAGTTAGGAAAATATTTTTGTAAACAAAGGAATAAATTGCTTCCAACTGCTTGTTCAGACACAGCAGAGAAAGCCCTGCTGTGTCACTCTGCTCTTCAGAGTGGCTCTCGTTGCTTGGCATGTCTATGCCTTCTTAGAGACCACACAGTGTGTATTCCAAAGAGAGCATTTACAGGTTTCAGGTTTTCTTTGTCATGCTCAATAAACAAGGAGGATTATCCTGAAAGGACTCTAAATGGTACAGGTACTCTGAGCTCTGGGTAATGCTGAGAGGATAGCTCTTGGAAGTTAACAACCCAGATGAGCAAAAATGAAACATTATCTGTCAATATCAGTAATAGGTTAGCTATGGAAAAATCATATTTTTCAAGCAGGTAATCTAAAAAAAAAAGCCCAGTGAAATCCAGCAGCTTCACTTCCTTGTTTTGTTAGCTTCAAGATTTCTCACAAACTATACACAACATAACGTTTAGGGTTCACTGCAACTTTCCCCCTTCCCTATTTAGTATATTTGAGGAAGCTGATAACCTGTGTATAAATCCCTTCCTAAAGCTTAAAATGCTAGCTGATATCTACTTAGATTTTACTGTTTCTGATCCCTGTCGCCTTGCAAGGGTGTTTGTGTGAAGGGCTTCTACCTCTCCAGAAAGGCCCTGTCAGTGAATAAATATAAGACAAAATTCAGCCCAAGTTTTAGTTACAGAAAGGCTTTTTGGGGGCTGTCTTTCCAATCTTGCAGCTTTATTTGTATATCTATGTACATATATTTCTACTTATAATATAGATAAACATAAAAACAGCTTGGAAAGCATAACTATAATATGTCAAGGTATCATAGTGAGCCTTTTGGTAATTTTTACTCACTATTGCAAATTCTCTGTTGAGGATCATCTGCTCCACCAGTGATGACTCATTGTGGAAGAGGTGAGGCTGCATGTGACTCCACATATGGGGAAACCACCAAAACTCATCCACAGATCTCAACAGCAGGTCATCACCTTCATCTTCTTCCTCAGTCCCTGCAAAAGAAAGGAAAAGTAACAACAGAGAAGGCCCCATAATGGTTTTTTAAACACAGAAGAGGCTGCCATAAAACCTAATGTCCTTGGCCTGGATGTGTCAGTGTTCCTGGCATGGTGTTAACTGAAAGTAATTCTAACAAGAATTAGTTTTCAAGGGCTGATTGTTGTGCTGTGTAGCATGCCAGGAGCATTTAGAAGTTCAGGCTCCCCCGGAAATCAGAGATCAGGTGGACTTGTACCCACTGGTACTCTGCTTTGGTCCTGCCAGACACTGCATAGTTGTAGCTGGACAAGGTGGCATCCCGGAGAACTGTGTGCCAGTTATAGAATACTTTAGGTTGCAAAAGCCCTTTAAGGTCATCAAGTCCAGCCCTAAAGCTAAACTAAACATCTAGGTCCACCACTACACCATGTCTCCAAGTGCCACATTTACACATCTTTCAAATACCTCCAGGGTACTGGGTCACTTCCCTGGGCAGCATGTTCCAGTGCTTGACAACCTTTTTTGGTGAAGATAAGCTGCTCTCTGGATGAGAATAGAAAGCAGTTAGCTAAAATATGAACAGTTATTGGTATATTTATAAACAAAGGAATATTACATAAAACCAGTCTGATTTTTGTTTTGTTTTTTTTTTTTTTTAAGTGTTTGTGATCTTAGAAAACCAACAAACTACATTTTCTATATTTGCTTTAATTTGATATCACGCTATCTCTTATCACCATAACCTGACAACTTAGATTTAACAAGATAACACAGTGTCAAGAATATTAATGCTGGTTGCCAGGTCTGAGAGTGGTGATTTTTTTGAAAACTGGCCAGAAGATGACAATCAATCAAGTATTTAAAAAGAAACAAATGCATACATCTGTTGTTTTCTGGTTTGTCCTGACAATAATGTCACTGTCAAATACAAAATACAGGAATAAGGAAAACATAAAAATGAAATTTTATCAATGCCAAGCACTGCCCCCACCCCATAGCTACTTTAATATTAGCCTCAATAAATTGAAATCTGATAATTTCTAGTGAAGTGTAAACCAAGTTGCAATAGTTTCTAAATACAATGAAGTGGAAGGTGTGAAGCTGTAATGGCAAAGGGGTTCCAAATGTTGTTTCCTATGCGGCTGCATTCAATACTTAGCCAGGTTTAAACTCGAAGTAAACCCAGTAAAAACTCCTCTGTTAGTGAAGAGTATCTGCTTCAGAGAGAAGCCAGACTCTGTAGTTATAACAAAGGAAACCTTCCATTTGCGAAATGATACAATGGTGCTTCCACCATCTGCAGATGGGTGTCTGCAGCGCTTGTTTAAATTGAGAAGGCAAAGTTACATTTCATTAACTTCACCCTGAAATTATTCAACAATATTCAGTTTATTAGCAGCCTTCCCTCTTGTTCCTTTACCATTTAAATGTTTTCTTTTAGCTTCAGTTAAAGAAATAATTGTCAGGATCAGTCTACTGATGCAAACACAGGTATCATTTCTTACAAGCTTTTCAGTGTTTTGCAAAACTCACTGGCAAGGAATGTTTCAGGGATGTCACTGTTTACTTTTGTGGCACGAGGCAGGAATGTACAGAGGTGGCTGTTCTGCACATTCACTTCAACTCTGTTTTTTTTTTTTTTTCACTTCCGCAGTGTTTTTTGAAGAGTGCTACTACACAAGCAGAGCATTACTTTGAAACTTTCTCCTGGTGTCACTGAATCACTTTACTCCCCTCTTTGCAGCACTCTGCAAGTTCTAAGCAAGTTGCTCCAACTGACGGGAGCACTGCTGGAAAGAGAAAACAACCTTGTTTACTCGGTAATCCCTTATTGAAAAGAAAGGACCGATAGCTTGCTCCTTTTGCATACGTCTGCTCCTTTGTGCAAGACTTCTTGTGCACAATGTGCCTGGGGGAAGAAATTTAACATAGGCTTTCAAAATAGGGCAGAAGAGAAAGGAATTAGGAGTATGTGAAGCCATTAAAGATCTCTTTGGTAACCCAAAGGTAGAAAACTGACAAGGGGGGGTGAAGAGTAAAAAAGAGAATATTCGAAATATATGAAAAGCCACAATCACCTGATTTAAGATTTAGGTTGAAGTATAATTTAGTGCCTTATTAACATTTGAAGTACAATATGGTTCTTGAAATAATTTCAGTATTAAAAACTATATTTTAAAATCCTATTTTTCCTACTAATTTCTTTGTAAAATTAGATATAACTAACCAAACTTGTCACTTTGTTTTACAGTAACAAAAATCAAACAGGATAAAGCATAACACTTTTGAATTTAAAGAAAAACAACCACTCCCTTCCACCCCCCATAATAGCAGAGCTGAAACTGAATGGTTGGAAGTTTAACATTTGGTGGTGGTGTTGCTTTTGAGGATAATTTTGTTCACAAGCCTTTAAAAAGAGTGTTGTTTGATCTTATAACTGCCTAAGTAGCGTTATTTCAAAAAAAAAAAAATCATACCAAAGTTTAATGGAGCATTTAGTGAGTACTAATATTGTTTAAATATTTTATCCCAATCCTTATTCAGAGTATTGGAGGCAAAACAAGGGATTTTGAGGTTTTAATTTCTGCACAGTCAACATTCTTTATGTAACTTTCCATCTTCATGTTAATGTAAAATCTGAAAAAGCAGAATACCTACAAGCAAGGAGGTGAACATGCATGTGTTTTGAGATGCAGTATGCACTTTACACAGGTGTGTAATAATTCAAAGGTTATTTGCACATAATAAATGATCCCTTATTTTAAACCTGCAACCGTAACTTGGACATCTTGTTTGAGCTTCAAAACTGAAACTAAGTTTGAAGTTGTTATCAATAACCTTACAAATCTTAAATGCAAATCCAGAGAATATTTTAATTTCTGTTGCCACTGCATGAACAAGTAGAAACATGTTTTCTAGAACCACATAACTAGTAGGGTCTGCTCAGTTTTTTTCTAATAGCGTTATGCCTACAGTGCATAGTGGCACAGAAGCGTGTGGTGGTGGTGGTGGTGGGATGATAAGCAATGAGGCTGATGTGTCAGCTATTGTAGTTATGTGCAGGCATACCAACGGGAATTGATATTTGTAGTACAGCTGTCAGCAATATCTTCTGATGGAAATGTATAACTTTAATCTGCCAACACATTCCCACACATGTCTCCCTCCTGTAGTCTTAAAATGATCCAAGTTTTGGAAAGGAAAGAACAAAATCACACATTAAGGAACTCAGTAAGGCACAGCAGTTGAAATGCACAAATAAAACATTTGAGTATCTGCTACTAAAAGCTGCTCTGGGTAAACAAGCCGCATTTACGGTAAAGAATACCCTTCCGTGGTTTATTTCTAATGACTCAATAAAGCGTATATGGTATGGAGAATACTTTGAAACCTTTCCACTAAGCTGATATGACAAAATGAAGTGTTCACTTAAAAACTCAGATGCATAGCTGAGTATAGGCAGCAGCAGGTCTCTTAAAGGGGGCAGTGACACGCTTCAATTCATTAAGTAGTTCTGCAAACTACTAAGAACTCTTAATAACTCTAAGAACTCTTAAGTACTTCATTTTTGTAATCCTTGAGAGCATTAGGAGGACAGGCACACAGGCACATCTATTTTCTCTCTCTACAGCAGTAGGAAGTTGGAAATCGGTTAGCATTGTATCAGCTGGAAAGGAAACCTGTGACAACAATATGGAGGCCTTCAGGATGAAGGAAGAAAAGAATGTATTGGCAGGTCAGGGGTTTCAAAGGCTGCATGGTGTATGCCAGCCACTGTTCATGTCATAGTATTTATAGTACTCTCCCTGAATTACCTTTCTCTGCAGTGGACACTGTCATGACTGATACCACCTTTACTCTGCAGATGGCCACAACCGAGCAGCATCATATGGTACAGCAGCTCAGAGCCTTGGGATACTTTTGTTTGTTTTGATGTGTTATGTGTGTGCCCAATTAATCTCCAAAGGAATAACTACATAGGCAGGTAAGATGAAGTGAGGAGAATGCTGAAGTTTGGTCTACCAAGTTACTTTCTGATCACAGGTCTGCCACTGGTTTGTTATATGACCCCAGGCAAGTAATTCCATCTCTCTCTACCTCTTATTTTTCTCAGGTTCTTCAGCCTATATCTTTAGTTCATAAGGTTTCCTGGGCAGCAGTTGCTTAGCATTGCGTGCTTGCACAAGGGGAAAAACAGCCTGGACTTTGAAAGCAAAAGGGATGCAAATACATTATTCTCTACTCTACATTCTCTCTACTTCTCTCCACTCATCCCTCAGACGCTTCCTCATCTTTCCTTCTTCCAGGGATCTTGTACTCTCCTAATGGGTGGTGAAACATAGCCATGAGAGCTGGGTAAGCTCATCTGTTTGGTATTCAAATACTGGCTATGAAAAGGGAAATACAGCTATATCTACCCTGTGAGAGGTGACCTGCCTTACTCCACAGCTACTGCATGGCCTGTGACAGCTGGGGCTACATCATTCTGAGCTTTTAAACTTACCTTCCCATCCTTTTGCTGCTGTAATGCCTCCTCTGTTCTAGATAAACTTCTTAGCTTTCCTAGCACAACTTGGTAAGAGTCACTAAATGTGGCTGAATGGGTTGGCAGCTAAGGATGCTGCAGGTGATCTTCACAGGTGGGAAGGCCATGGGGATTAGAATGGAGAAGGACAGGAGGTGTCTCCTTTGAAATGAGTCCTTAAGTATCTCTTTTTTCTTTTTTGCCTTAGCAGTACTTGGGAGCTGCATGGCTCAAGTGGCAGCAGAGGGAAGCCTGAGTGGAGATGCTGCAAAGTATTAAGGAGAGAGCAAAGGAGGAGGGGAAAAAAAAATATTAAAAAAGGGACAATGTGTTGCGGAGAAATTGAGCAAAAGACAGAAAGGACTCAGGAGGAGGAGCTGTAAAAATGCCTCATCTTCCACAGAAACACAGTGTGACTGTGCAACTCATTACTGCATAGAGTGTGAAAGGAGCAGGGTTTCAATACAAATTTCTTTTCATTTTGTTTTCTTTTACCATCCCTCTTGCAGACCACTGACAGAGATGAGCTTTACAGTCATAACAAAATGTTGTGCCTCCCATTCAAACACTTCTGCCTTTTCAGAGGTTGAGAGACATGATTTTTGCTATCTTTTGTATTTTATCACATCTATCATACTGGAAAAACTGAAGTATGTCTTCTGTGCTGTCCTATCTTTAGTGAAATTATAGATATCTTAGCAGCTACTTTGCCTCCTTTATAACTCCAAGATTTACTACCACACATCTTTCAGAAAAGCACCTAAGGACTTCTATATTTTCCAGAGAAGCTCATACATAGCTTTGCCCCTTTGGACACTGAATTAGACACTGATGCTAAAATGGTGGAGCATGTTATTTCCCACTGCTTCAATGAGTCAACATGTTTCTTAAAAAGGGCATATTTAAAGCAAGGTTTAAAATCCTGATACCTATTTAACTGTCACTACCTGAAAGCATGAAGTTCCTTCTTACCTGTGTGGTAAAATTTTCCTGAAAATCCAAGGTTGAAGGTAAAATTTGCAACCTGAGTGCGCAGTAAATTTTGAGTCTCTAGTAAAGCCTGAAATAAATAAGAAATTAACATGCATTTAGAAAAATGAGTATTATTTTTTGAAATGCCTCATTTTACAAGTTATGTCCTATTGAGGAGATACAAAAAAGAAGACCCTGTTAAATGTTTCGCATTTTATTTTGGGCTCGTTCTTTTTTATGACTATTACAGTGAGCTGAATTTGTTCTATCAGTGTTTGATGGTCTTGCAATGCTAGTAATAGTACCTAAGTACCAAAGGTGGTGATAGTTCTGTACATCGGACCAAGGTACTGAACACTGTTTGCAGTGATCTATGGCAGGACTTGAATTCCATCATTCAGATATACTAAATCACTAAGCCACTCATGCTTTGGGCTGTTAATGAAGCTTGATGAAATGTACTTAAAACCCAAAGTAAAGTTAGGAATGCTACTTGCTATTCAAATGTAGAGGTGTTGGGATTTACTTACCTGCAGAAACATTTTTGATTGTGTCTGATTATCAAATTCATGCTAAAGTGTGAATGAGCAAAACTCCAATTTTGACCTATGGCAGAAGCAGTGTTTGTGTCAGAAATGAAAACCCACTTTTTTTAATCTGTCCTCCAAGCAAAAGGTAACACCTGTCTAAGTGACATGGAGGAAATGGGTATTGCTTATAGAAGAAATAGGTGTCTTGGTCACCATTTTTCTTGGACATATTTCCAACTATTAGAGAAAGGATGGTTCAGCCTGCATGAGTTATCTACATTTACTGTTAGTTGTCAGCTCTGCACTGCTGCTAAAGATAGTCTTCGCTGCACAGATATCTGTCTGTTTTCAGTCACCTGCCCACATAATCTGGACGTGCTACATATGTGAGATGGATAGTGCACTTATCTCCCTATTGTGCTTGCCAGTGTTGAATGGGTTATAAGTTCTATTTTCATCAATTTTCTGTGTCTCCATTATGTGGCTCTTGAGAACTTTTCCCATTATCAATTAATAACGTTTCTATTGATTGAATGTTCATGTTCTTGCACAGTTCAAAGACAAAATGAATGCATTGATTTACGCACAGTCTGAGTTCAGCTAATGTTTCCTTTCATTTGAAAAAATAACATTTTGTATGGTCCTTAGTAATTTCACTTAATATTACAGGAAAATAGCTTTACCTTTTTGCTTAACCCACTGGTCTAATTTAAACAACAACAACAACAACAAATTCTACTTATGACCACAATCTAAATGCATATCAAGGCCAGTGTAAATGATGAAACCAGGATTTAAGTGGCTGAGGTGCCAATTGGTGGCCTGTGCAATCATCATCCGGAGTGGAGCCGAACTAAGCAGGTCAGGTTTTGGTGGTCTCATGATTTATCAGATTTCCTTTATATTGCAGTGTTTTGGGAGGTGCTGTCAGCTTCTGTCTGCATTTGCTGTAGGACATTAGCTGTTTAAAGTTACTGACTCCCACCTAATGAGGTATATTGGGCACCCTACATATTGGAGCACAAGCTTCTTCTGAAGCATCATTTGCTAACAGCTGCCTTCTAAAGGGGCATCCCTCAGGTGCCAGGCAGCTTGGGAATGTAACACAGGGTATTGTCAGACTGTGCATCTGCCTTAATTTCTTAAACAGAAACATTTCCTGGGTGTTTAGGAAGATGTAAAACAAATATAGCTGTTATTGGTTACAACAGTCATTGAGCAAATTCCTTCCCTTGCTAACGGAAATCAAGTAATCTAGTGACAGTAAATCTTGTGATTTAGAATTAAATATTAAGATAGCTGTATCATTTACTGCCTATCTTGCCAGGCATTTAGTAAGTGGGTTATTTCAATCCTGTGACAATTTCATATATGGGGCTATATTTACATAATATAAAACAACTAAATGTTCACTAAAATGTAAAACTATAGGATCAACCCCACTGTTAGCAAAGACATGGAGAAAAATCCCCAGTTGGTAAAAGCTGGCACTAAATTGACACCATTAAATTCACAAACATGGAATCTGAGTCATTGTATTTAGAACATAATTTTCCAAGCAATCTAGAGCATTTTATAGATGTTGAGAAAGACTGATGGTCTGAGCAAAATCAATTCAATTTTCCTTTGAGAAATGAACATCTTGAGAAATTATCATCACTTAACATACAGTATAAGAAGGTACATGAAACAAATATCACTATATCTTGTTGATTTTTCTCTTTTGATTTCCCTCACACTCACATCTCAATAACATGACAGATCTGTGAGATAGGGAGATGCCTTCCAGCCTGGTGTAGTCTCTTTAAAACTACAGAGCAAGAATTAAGATGTAAATCCTGTAACCTGCAGTGTGTCAAGCATTCTCTGTCAGAAGGGCAAATGTGTAACTCAAACTGGATTTTGCTTGGTCCTAGAGATTTTTTTTTATTTCAATTTCTTTATATGCATATTAATTTCTATAATATGCAGCTAAACTTCATTTTCATGACCTTACCTGATTTTGATAATGAGAAGGTATTTTCAGCTAGTCAGTCCAAACATATTTTGTCATTACTTTCCGGGGGAGGGGGGGGGGTTAATGTCTTCCACATTCTTAATCTAAAAAAGCAGTCTCTGTTGATGTGATTAGAGTCTGCTTTCCCTATTTTTAAAAAACGTATATTCAAACAAAATTGCTACTGACTCATACTTCCTTCAATGGTAATTTTGCACCATAGATAATGAGAGCTTTTGTCTCCTGTAGGTACAGACTTTAAGGGCAAGCAGCATAGAAAAGTACCATAGCAGGAGAAGAGCAGACAACTTTCTTCCTCTTGCATTCTCCCAGGTGGGTGAATTTGAACCCCTGCTTGTTTGCCTGTTTGTGAGGACAGCTGCAAACACTGCTGCGCAGGCAGTCCTGTGGTTCCTGGATGAAGCAGGATGCAGGAGCTGCACATCCCTGGCATTCAGTGCCCAACACCTTTCTGGGATTTGCGCAGCCTTCCTGTGAGGTGCAAGGTGTTTATTTTATTCTGAAGGGTTTGCAAGATGCAGAAGGGCTATTGAATTTTAACAGCTGGAAATCCTATCCAATGCCAAGCGCAAACACGTTTGTTCACATTCTGCCTGGTCCTGCTGTGCTGTCCCCAGCTCCCTTCGGCAGTCCTCATTCCCCTCTCTCACCTCTATCCCATGCTGACCTCAGGACTCTGCTGCCAGCCCTGAGGGAGAGGTGGTAGGGACTGTCCACAACTTCAGCAGAAGAAAAATTCATACAGATGGGGGGAGTGAGAGGGTGGGGGTTGGAGGGAAGAGCATGGCAAATCTAATTTTGTAGAAAATATTTTTCTCCTAAATATTTCATGTGATCACAGTATTTAAGTTATCTCTACCAGTATGTGTCTTTTCCTCAGAGTTGGTGGGATTGCCTTTTTTCCTCTGAGTACTGGAGCTTAAAAGAGATGTAAGTGGAGGAAAGCATGTGAGAACACAATTAGTGTTCCCCATTGAACTCATAGGGGTATGTTAAAGCAACAGCTGGAACTCACTGTTGCTTTAGTTTCAGACAGTTAAATAGATCATGCTAAATAATTATTCTTCCCCGTGGAAAGAACCATGGAGCACACCTGCACATGGACAAAGAGGCCTATCTCACTGACAGGCTAAGTAAACTATGGGGCTTTTTTTGCAGTAAATCAAGCCATTTTTTCAAATACAAAACCTTAATTGCCTGAAGTCTCTCAAAACTTGTGGGTTTCATTTTATTAATTGATTCTTTGCTTTGTCAATGAGGCTTCTCTCTGACAGCCACAAGATACAGTTTCTTCTTTATATTGCATTTACATTCAGCAGTCTTTGCTGTTAATCCATATAAATACCTTTTGTAGAGTTGAAGTTACAGTGTCTTCATAATTGGTGCATCTATTAAGAAGAAGTGATATTTTCCTCTATGTCCTTGTTAATTAGAACTCTACCCTACATTTACATAATAAACTTTTTGGGGTAATATCTGCAGTAGCATTTTGTGCCTAATAAGAAGCAATTTGCTTTCCTTTATTAAGTACATTAAAACTGCATACCCAGACATCAGTGACTGTAAACATTTGATTCTGCTTAAATTTAATGCACCAAGGCATTTTGCTCTGCCATATTAGGTTTATTTATGTGCTATGTTCTGGATTGTTAGCTGCTAATGAGGCTTCCGCTCTTATTGCTCTGAGGCCTGAACACTAACCTCATTTTAATGAGTTCATTATTTGCTGCCTTCTGAATGGAAGACAACAAATTTTCCTTTTAATTAAAGGTCAAAACACCTCTGGCTAAGGAAAGTGTAGAGGTTATCAAATCCTTAGAGAAGGTAAAAGAATGACTTTTTCTAATTTTGATGGCAGGCATGGGAAGGCTGGCTGAGGTAGAAGGTGTTTCTCTGGGGACCAAAACTCCAAAGCTAAGTGATAATGACACTAAAACGTGGTACTAGACTTCCCAAGACTGTAAAAACAAAAAAAAAACCAAACCCAACAAACCCAAAGCAAACCCTGAAAGTCACCTAAAGTAATGAAAGAGGCTTTACTCCTAACCTAAAGGTCTTCCTGGATCAATACTGCTGCTAAAGCATGAGCCGTTCTTTGCATATGCAAGGATTTGTAGTGTGCAGAGGACACAGGCCAGATTAATTATACCAGCAAAGGTTAATCTCATATTTCTTATCGGGGAAAGTGAGGTGAATGTGATCAATACTGGGGGCTTTCTGTGGGGAGCCAAAGGTATAGGCAACAGTGTGTGTGTCTGTGCAAATGCACATAAAAGGGATTGGTGATCCATTTCTTTGAAAATAGAGAGCGGAAACTTTAGCCAGACCAAAAAAGGATTGAATACAGGAATTAATACACAGAGTCTTGTCCTTCGTCCAGCATTTTATACCTGGTCATCATCTTAAAGGAAGGCTAACAGATTTTGGTTCATGTGCCCCTCATTCCAGAAACTGCTCACATCACAGGTAATAGTGTTAGAGAAAGGGAGAATATTTGGGAAAGAAGGGACCAGTGTCTGTGAGAATAGTTGGTGAAAACTT